TGATCAACTGATTTTAAAGGGACAGTTTGTTCAATGCCAAATTAATCCCATGGAGGAACTGGATGGAAGTCTAGAAGATGGGCCATTTGAGGAATTTTTGTTGTTGTTGTTGTTTGATCAGTTTCAAAACAAACACAGGAGGAAAAAAAACAGCTCAGAACAAAAAGGGTCCATTTCTAATTGGCTTTATATCAGTAAAAATTGCATCATTTATGATAATCTGGATACACATCAACTAAGTTGTGACTCTGGTCCAAAAGCTTCATGAAAATATTATTAGGAAACCCAAACAATAAGGTCTACCTAGGAATACAGTAAACTTCTTTGCTATATTCTGTATTTTGCCAACAGCTATGTGCACAGAATCCACATTAAAGCAATGTCAATGTTGCTAATACCCTATCAGTGTGCTATGTGGAGATACATGTGCTATTCTGCTGAGTTATACCAGCTTTCTCTGATTTTTCTCTGCCTTTTAAGACTTATATCCTAGTGATGCTGTATTAATTTATTAGATTATGAAGGTGTGCTATAAAATCTTGTATTTTGAATAAGCATTAAATTTCACAGCTGCTCTTCAAATTATCATATTGTCCTGTAATGGAATGAATTTAAGACTGGGCATCAAGTTCCACTTTATTCTAGGTTTAGAGCTGCAGTAGTAGCACTCCAAGTGCAGAGTTATCAGAAATTAATCTTCAAGGATAATCTGTTTATTTACTTTCACTGTATATTCCCATTCCTGCATCTTAGCTTCATCCTTTGGCAGATTACAAACTGGTAGATTTCTGGAGAAATACCTGGCTTTGAAGTCGTTTTTTACACTTCCATTGACCTCTCAAAGTGCAAAAATCTCATTGAAAGGTTTCAGAACTCAGCATATAAAATTTCTTGGTATATACAGAATTTCAACCCCCCAAATATGAATACCTCCCCAGAAAATAAACACATTTTGATAAAAAACATTTTTAATAATCATGTGGCTGTGTTGGCTTTGTTAGAAACATACTAAACACGCAAGAGAATTAGGAGCTACAGTCAAAGATAGCAGTAGGAACAACAGTCATGATATGCAGTTGTTGCTATGAGAAGAACCTTAAGTGCAATGTTTAGAGCATAAACACTGCTTAATTTCCAAATGCCCATCTTTGTAGCAAGAAAAAAAAATGAGGAAGTACCAAATCATTGGATAAAGTCAGGACCAAAGATATGACAAAGAATAAATATATATTTTTTATCTTTCCTGATGCACACGAAAGAATGGCTTTGTAACATTATTATCTATCCCAGCAACTTGTATGGCCAGGATATTGACCCTGCTCCTAATTGAAACATTTATCTTTAAGACAGGTTTTTTTTGTTTGATTGGTTGTTTTTTTTTTTTTACTTTAAAAATGTATTGCTGTAGCCCTTAATGAGGCTGTGGAAAGACACTCTGGTGGAATTTGGTTAAAGCTCCATTTGCATTAATGGTTTCTTTCCATTTTTTTTCCTTTAGGGAGAGCAAGGCCCTTTAGGTCCCTATGGTCCTCCAGGACTCCCTGGCGTTGGACAGCCAGGACCCAAGGTAACTCCCAGTAATACGTCTATTAAAGTGCTAACTGTGGGCAGTCATTTTTTGGATTAAAGTTCTCACCTGCTGTTCTATCAAATTCAAGCTCTTATCATCTAAATGTAAAACTGACACAATATTGACAGGTTTTTGTATTTGCATAGGATGGAGATAACAGACCTGTCTCTCCAGCAACTCCAAGTTTTTATTGTGATCCCATTGCTATAATAGAAGTCAGAAATAATGCCATTTAAATGGGGGTTAAATACGTGAGAACATTTTCAAGCACTAGCACATGCTTGCACTAATGAGTAAACCATACTTCAAGGCATAAAAATACATCTCAGTCACTGTGATACACAGTCAAGTGACAGATTTGCCTTGTTATTTCTTCACTAGGGAACAGATATTCTTATAGGTTATAAAATTCTCTCTCTCATGCAGCATTTAATTCCTCTATCTTATCTTATTGCAAAAGACTAGAAGGTGGAATCCAGTCTTGCTAATTTGGAAAAGTCATGTCTGCCTATGCTGGCCAGCCAAATCTCCTTTTGGAAAACTGCAAAAGCATCTACATAGGAAACATGACTACTTAGTTTATGAGAGTTTTGTCAGAGACCTACAGCTCAGACTCAAACAAGAAATCTAAATTGGGCAGAACTAGATCTCACCCTAGTTCTTCTGGCTGCTAAATTTTTGGTGTTGCTTTATGCCATTTTCCCCCTCTTTTTTGGAGCCAAGTGCCAGTGTCTAAAATACCTGCACTTTTTTTACTTTTACTGCTCTAATTTGTACATTCTTTGAACTCCTGCATATTTTCTCTGCAGTGGGGCAGACCCTGGAACATAGAGAGGGTTTATATAGCTCAGAGACTAGTAATTTGCCATGTAGAAGGAACAACATGGGGTCATTCCAGAAGGGAAATTACGTTTATATTGAAGAATGTCACTCCCAGTCTCTGTACTACTCAGGGGAGAGATAAAAATCCTCTGCGCTCTTATCCTTGAAGCACATAGTCCTCAGTAAACTGGAGGAATTGTGAAGATTATGACACCTTATAAATAGAAGATACAGAAACTATGCAGTTCCTGGAGTTCCCATGCAATCCCATATTCCACTAAAGCAGGCTTCAACTCGAGTGCCTAGATAGAGGCTATGGTGAGGATCCCTCACACCTGAGCAT